GTCAGCAAAACAACATGGAAGATCAGATTCCATCTAGGACAGTTCAGCAGAATGCTCTGTACATGGATTTTCTGCCACATGAGGTGATTTTTTGGCCTAATGTCTTAAAGGGCATACTGCTTGCTCATATGGACGATGTAATCTCCAGTGTTAACTAGAGGTTTAAAAACTGTTATTTCTTATGTTGTGGCCTTCATAAAGTCTGAAGAGACTTCCAGTTTTGCTGGGATTGTACTTCTAGATCAGATTTTGTAGTCATCTGAAATACAGAATGACTCAGAATAAGATTATAGATGCATTACTTTTGAAGTGTAGTCCTACTGAAATGGTTTTGAAATTTTTAAGAGGTTCCACCTTTCAATAGCACGTAAGAGCCCATCCTGAAGAGCAAAGCCAGCATAATGGTCTAGTAGTCCAAGTAGAAGCCAGTAATGAGTTTGCAGGATGTTTATTAGGAAAAATTTCCTTTAAAAAAAATAAATAAAAAGCTGTAAATACTTTTTATATAGCCTTTAGGCATCCATACGGTGGGTGATCTGTCAGATCTTTTCATTGATACGTTTATCTTTCAAGATAAATACAGCATTCCTGAATTGATAACTGACTTGGATGGTAGGAAGACAGAAACATTTTTCATAAACATTTTACTCTTAATTACTACTTGTCCTCTTCCTACCCTTTGTTGTGCTTCTGGAAGCCCTGTTGGTTTTGGTTTTGGTGTTTTGCTTTGGTTTTTTTTCGAACTGGCTCTAAAAATTAACTGTTCCTTTCCACTCCTCCAACCCTGCAGCAACCTCTCCTAACTCTGCAGAAAGTCCATAGATATTTTTTGGTTTACCATGGAAGCATGCTGTGATCGGAGATTGTTCCTTAAAGCAAAGGAGAACATAAACCTGCAAAGAACTTTCAAAGTACTTGGAGACTGATTTGAGTTGAGCAGCTATGATGTGTTTTCAGCACTTAGGAAAGAGGTTTTATGTTTAAATAATAAGTAGTTAACTTTGCTTTTTTGCTAGTTTTAGGAAGTTGTTCTAGCATATTTTTGTTGCGATTTGTTAGAATATAAATTTCAGTTTTCAGGTTTGAATGTTGCTTGTAACTGATTTTTCATTTGTTCTTACGCATTTTAGTAGAGTAGGTCTGTTCCTGCTAAAGGCCTTTTTGTATACAAAACAGTCCTCTTTCCTTAGTGTCCATGTGAAGAACCTGAGCTCTTAGGTTTTCCATTATCATGATGAGTGGAAACATTTTTCTGTAGCTGTTCCACTTAGAATTTGCTTATCTTGAACATGGGAAGCAAAAATTAATGTGTATTGCTTTGGAAGAATTTGTTCTTATCATTGTCTGCTTGTTTAGTGCGTGTGCTTTTTCTCTTCTGGTATATTTTGGGATTATAGTTTTCTTTTTGTTGTTGCATTACATGTGATGCATTCCAATGAATACACAGTGATCATTCTCCCTGTGTTTCCAACTAATTGCATCAGTCTCTTAATGTGAAGGATGGGAGAGAACGTTACCTACCTCAGGCTAGTAGAGGCTTAGTTTACCGACTGGTTAAACAGTGCTGATGACTTGCATTGGAAAGCATGATAGAAATGCATAACGTTACTGTGTGTAGACTGAGTTCTATTATTTTTTCCGGCAGTTAAGTGTGTGAGTTAGTTCTAATCTTACTAGGTTCATTTTGTACTGTTGGCTTTTAATTGCTTCAGTTGATATAATTTGTGCTGTATCCCAAATCTGTTCTCAGGGGATGATTTCCTAACGTTTCATCCACGGGCTCTTACTTTTTCCATAGTCACTAACAGAAAGGCCTGGCTTGAGGCACCTCACTGATAACATCCTTTTAGCTCTGCATGTCATTCCAAATCCAGTAACTGTTACCCTTTCCTTAACAAGTTTACCTACTCTGTATTTTTCCTACTAAGCACAATCTGTTCCATTTGAACTAAGTTTTCAGTGCCATATTATGGCTGTGAAATCTAGCTAGATTGAATGAATTATACTTTTGGTATAGTTATTTTACTGAAGTCTGCTAATTTTGTCTGGTACTCTTTACTTTTGATTAATTTTCATGCCACTTGATTTTTTTTTTTTCTTCTTCCGCATCTTTTACTTTTCTTAAAAAGTAAGTTTTAAGACTTTCATACTATCTATTGATAACAGCTCAGAAAGGCTTATTATTGAGGCGGTACTACTCTGTTTTCATAGAACAAATTATGGATCTAAGACATGTTACTTTGTGTACTAGTTTCACAACTCTCTTCTCCCTGGTTTGGGGGAGAACAATGAGCTGTCTTCAAAACTGATAGGAAAAGAATAACTTCGCTTTTTCATTCTCTTATTTCATCAACTTTCCTCCTTCGTGATGTACCATGTCCACAGTGAAAATGCAGGCAAACAGCTTAATTCTTGGGGTTGAGACTAAAAGTAATCTTAATTTAGTCCTCATTGTATAGCATCACCGGTTCTTCCCTGTTTGTGGCTGAAGAATCCTTGCTACTTGCTTTGCTACCAGCAGTATGTTAACACATTCACTCTTGGCAACCCTTTTTTGGGACAGCTCTTAACTGACCAGTGCTGTTTCCTGTTCTTGTGGGTGGTCTCTTCCCTTCACCTTTGACATCCTTTCATTCATCAGGGAAAGGTTCCAAACCAAATAAAGAATTTATCATCTTTGGGATATGGTCTTCACGTACTTCTTGCGTCTTTGATTTAAAAGGGATGGAGTGCAGAAAGCAGCTTCCTTCTTGCTCAAGTCCCATATCTCACTTGCTGAAGTTACAGCTTCACTGATGTACTGCAGCTTTCCCTTCTGCAACTTAACATTTAGTTTCTGTTCCAAATGACCAAATCTTCTGTGTTAGGTTTATTACTGAAGAAATTGCATTGTTAAGTGTCATTTATTAATCCCAAAATATTTTTAAAATAATTCTACTGGGTAGCACACTCTGACAGGCTTTGCCCTTTATAATTTGTAGTAGTAATTATATCTTGGAAGCTTATCCACAACAGTAATTTTTGTTCTTATAATATTAAGGATCTTTATTTCCAAGTAATTGTACATCAGACTTGAGGGGTTGTACTAAAAGGTCTTACTGCTGTCCTTTCCAAAAGCACTTTTTAAACAGGATTCTGGCCACATTTAGAGTAAAACTATTTTTGCTGTACTAATCACTGAATAGTAGATAACTATTATTTTGCTTTACGTAAGAAGGGAATGTCTTCCAACCAACACTCTTAATTCCCAGGTGTTTCTTGAAAATGATCCATCTAAACCATTTCTTACTGGGAAGGATTTAAAAAACCCCATCATCTTAATAGCCTGATTTTTTTTTTTCCTTCTATTTCTTATTTTTCCCCTCACCATGGTTAGCAAATAGTTCTTCCCACAACATGCCTTGTTTTCCATGTAAAGCAAAAATCTTCAAATCTTAGGCTCTAGGAGAACCCTGATACTCTATTTCTGAAGGACTTGGATGTTAGGAACCTTAATACTTTCATACTTCATTTGTTGGAGGAAGGGAAAGGGAACAGAAATCTCTGTGTAAGTACTCCTTTTCCAGGTTTTTACTATACATCTGCACAGCTTATTCTTGGGCTGAAGTTCCTTCCCTTTTCCACCTGCTTCCCCAAACTGTTTCCCTTTAGTATGGTGAGCTTTCTACATACAAAAAGCAGCACAAAGTCGTAACCTTGCCCTTGGTTGTTGGATCTTGTTTAGATTAAATTAATTCTGCATTCTTAGCTGTTGTGATGTTAGTGTCAGTCGCTTGAAACTCTGTGTTTATTTTCCATCCCTTTCTATAGGATACTTCTGTTAAGAATTCATTTCTTCTGGAATAATGGGCAAAATAGAAGTAAAGCTTGCATTGGTTTATCTTCCTCTTTTGCTAATCCAGAAACTCATTTGACTTTTAAGGAAAGTACCTGTAGTAAGAAAGACCTTTATCAAACACCTGAAAGGACTGGTAATAGGTGTAGCAGCCTCTGCCATTGGGGGGGTGCGCAGGGGTGTGGGCGTGGATGTGTTGTAAGACCATGGGCAAAAGATTTAGACTTCTTGCCTTTGTCTCAGCCTGCAAGGTAGTGAGAGCAGTACCTACCTCAGAGATTTCTCAAGGATTGGTTCATTAACTTTTTAAATTAATGCTGATGGCCTCTGGAAGGTGCTACAGAAGTGCATAGTGTTACTGCCTGCAGGCTGAATATCATTGTTTTTTCTGTCTCTTTAAAGAAAATGCAAAAGTGCTTTGCTGGGGAGAATAGAAAGGGGCTTTCTGAAGAGGTGCTGAAGACATGAAAATTCAGAGTGGTGATTGGTCACCTCTGCTTGATTGACAGGTTGCAGGGAAAAACAAAAACCCATTTGTTCTGGCTTAATGGAACTGGAAAACAGAAAATGAGTATCAGGTAAAAATTCCTTTTTTAAAATCTTTGCAGTTCTCCTTTAAAAAGTGGAGTTTTTACACAAATCTACACCTCCCCCACTCCAGTAAATTAGGAGTAGGAATTGCAGAAACAGGCAGTTGCTAAGTTGTGTAATGTGGGTTGTCTATGTCAGTGCGTTTTCTAGCAGGCAGGTGTTCTGAAACACCGCAGCAGCCAATGCTAGTGGGCTAGCTTAGCAAAAAGGCAGAGGATCGAAAGGGTGTAGTGACTAAGCCCTGAACTGGACCCAGCTCTCTGGTTAGGCTCATTAGCAGGACGTTCAAGGGGAAGCTTTTATTTTCACTTCCTATACTGTGCCTGCTTTGTGGATAAAGTCTGTCAGTTTCTACTACTATCAATTTGGCATCTTTCATGAGCATTATTACAAAATTCACTGAAAAGTGAATAGCTAAAAAGTAAACTATGTTTTAAAGTAACTTCCATCTAGCAGTATATTGTCTTACAGATTTTATAATAAATTTCAACATCAGCACCACAGTTTTGAGAATCGTAATTGAAAATTATTTATTTCTGGTAACTTAATTATTTTGTATGTTGATGTATTTCAGATTGAAGGACAAGGACATGGTGCGGTTTTTGACTGCAAGTGCTCTCCTGATGGACAGCATTTTGCATGTACTGATTCTCACGGTCACCTTCTGATTTTTGGCTTTGGTTCCAGTAGCAAATACGACAAGGTACAGTGCAAGATGACAATCAAAATGTTTGTCTGTGTTGAATGCATTTGTGCAAACTTTCCTGCAGAGCTTCATTTCAAGAGAGTGTATCTTAACACAGTTTTGAGCCATTAATATGGGGTGTTTCAGATTTCTGTTGTTGATATTAAGCTTTATTTCACTGTCTTTTTTTTTTTTTTTTTTTTAAACTATGGAAACATGCTATTAAGCTACTGTTTACAGGGGGAGTTAAAAATAATTTTAAAAAAACAAATAACCCAGTCACTGTCTACTCTCTAAAGTGACAAGGTTATACGTGTGTACTAATGGATCCACGTGGATAACATGAATAAACTGCAGTGGAATTGATAATAGTTAAACATTTTGCTTTAAATATTTTTCTGGTTCCTAACTAAGAACAGAAAAAGGGGCAGAGGATGTAATAGACTGATTTCCTGCTATCTGTATTTAAACATTGCATAGCCTGGGAGACAATTACCTACAATAAATGTACTATATGTTCTAGTGCTACAATTTTATGTCTGCTGCTGAAGTTCTGCTGTCATGGATGCCTTGGTGCTTACACAGCAATGTTTCACTGTTACTGTGTAATTAAAATATTACATCTTTATTCTAATGTCATAGTCTACATTGTGTATTCTAAGTGTGGGTGTCTTGCCACAGACCCTCATGACTGTAAAGATATGAAGGGGGTGGGGGGGTGTGTTTTTTGTTGGTTTTTGTTTTTTGTTTTGTTTTTTTTTTTTTTTCTTCTCTGGGGATGAACTCGCCTTATGTATGGAGTGCCCACAAGGCCATAATTCTTCTTTTACCACCCAGGGAAGAGGTGAGGTGTGTCTATTCTCCCTCTTTCTAAGACTTAAGGAGACATATCTGCTCCAGGATTTTAATCTTTGCTTCTAGTAGCTGATACTTGAAGGTTGTTGGTGAAGCGCTGGCTTCTGGGTCTTGCCTCCTGCTTTGGATCTTTGGACTCAGGCTGGCCTTGAAAGCATTTTGGCAAACAGCAACACAGTGGGGCCTGAAGGAGGGAAGTCAAAAGGAACTTTAATCTTTGTCTTGTAGGCCATTGCATTTCTTTCTGTAGTCTTCCAGCTCTTATTTTGATGTTAGATTTGCATATTAGGGATTTTTTTTTTCCTTGTCTCTCAACTATAATTTGAAGTACTCAGTACTTGGCTGCTGTTGCTATCCCTCAGCTATTACTAGCTATGCATTTCCCCTTCCATTCCAAAGAAAACAAATGAGCAGAGATACCGCAAGCAAGGAAAACCAGGATTATCAGATCATTTTCAAGGTCTTTGCCTTTCAGAGTTCTTACTCTTCCAAACTTTAAAGCCTGTTGTAATAGGAACATTTTTCTCACGATGTCTGTGGATTGTTCCAAGTTTGTTTTTCTTTCCAGTCATTTTGGAAGTGTATAGTCTTCTGCTACTCAGAAATGTTGGAAATGAAATCTCAACCGAGAGCCCTTTTGTCTTTCCTGTGATGGACCGGGACTTTCCTTTATACTGCCATTAGAGAATTTACCTTATGAGGGTTAGACCTGTTTGAAGAGTGAAAACAGTTACTTTTCACTTCTTGAATTGTACGGACCCTTTGTTCTCTTGGGGTTTTTGCTGCAGCCTTTGAGAAAAGATTATGTTTAAAATTTTTCAGTTCTGGGGTGATTGAAAATGATCCTCTCCAGCTGTTACTGTGGCAGTGGTAATTGTGGCATTCTTGACCATAGAAGAAATGGGAGCAAATAAGAATTACGTTTTTTACCTCTTTAATCTTCAGTCTTCAGCTCTCAGAAAACTCAACTTGAAAGTTTCCAATCTCTTCTCTGGTTCCATCTCCTCTTTCATTTTTGTCTGATCTGCTTTATGGAAAAATGCAACTACAGATAGGTATGTGCTGGAGATAAGGTGTTCTTTTTTTCTGTCCTCCCACCCTCAGATACTTGGGGGGTTTTCAGACCTTTTCTGAGAATATGCTCTGGTGGGACCTGTGTTTTTTTGGCTTTAAAGTGGTTTCCATCTGTCTTGAGGAATGATATTTACAGAAGAAAGGAGTGTGTAAGTAACCTGTCCTGTATTCCTGCATTTGCAAGTTGTGCTCAGGACAATGACTACATCTGAGACAGTGTTAGCACTTCTGAGAGAGCAAGCTCTTAGCTTTCTACATGTATGGTTTTTTTCATTTTATGTTTAGATAGTGTCTGTTGTTTCCTAGTTGACTGGAACCACTGTCTAGGCTTTTTTTTTCTCTCCCCAGTGTGATCTTGGCCATTATGAAGGCAATGGGGTGGTTTGGGGTTGTTTTTCTTTTTTTTTCTTTTTTGATGATGATCAGTTTTTGGACTAAGCCTTGGGCGGGGAAGGGAATATGTTTGCTGCTTGTTTGGGGCTCCTTTGTAATTTGACCCAATTAAGGGAACCTTGAGCAAATCTCAGCTGAGATTTCTCAGTGTGTGAAGATCATCAGAGATGAGCTGAGCTCACTGTCAACAGGGCATGTGCACTTCAGAAGTTCTTGGGTAGGTGGAAACTTGTCCAGGAATGCTTGACTGTCCTAAAGCATAAGGTACCTTTCTGTTCATCTTAGATTAGACTACATCTCTGAGCTTTCTAAGGCTTTAGTTCCTACAGACTTCCCAAACCACAGTTCTTTGTTGCAAGTTGACAGCTCACGTGTGGTGGATTGGTGCAGTAGTGGGGAAAATATCTTTGCATTTGTGCAGGTGTGCCTGTTTCGAGAAACTGAGTGTAGTTCCTGAAGGAGAGTATTTGTAGAGCTCAGACCTTGTGGAAAGCTTTCACACTGAAATGCAAGCTGCATTTGTGAAGTCATACGTACAGAGGACTCTTATGTTGCAGTGGTGGTGTAGTATCTTCTTTTTGTCATGAATTAATACTTTTAGCTGGTTGTCTGCTGAATGTAGCCATTTAAGACTCTCTAAAACATCTAATTATTTTGATTTTTCTCAGGATTTGGAGTAGCCTGAGGATAAGATCTCTCTGCCATACTTGATTGCAGTACAGAGTACACAGAAGGGTAATCACAAAGAAGTCTCTCGTGATTTTGCACCACAGACTATTCTGGTAGAGGTCACTGAATCTAAGGAGGGATTTTCAGATCTTCCCTTTGCTTACAAAACCTGGGATGCAGACAACACAGCACATGAAAACTCACAGTCTCTATGATCATGCCATTGGAATCTCTTCTTTCTCAGTGCAGGAAGTACTTAATAGGAAGATTTACACTAGGTGAAAGTACTGGATATGCTACTATTATGATTCTAGAAGTTGTAAGTCTTCCTAGAGGACCTGTATCTTTATCATATTGAGCTACTTGAGCTGAAGGAACAAAGTTGTTAAGCAGGCCTTGTTTCTTTCAATCAGATACATGAAAGTACTTGGGTCTTTCTCATTCAGCCTCTGTTAACAGAGAATCTGGCAACAAGACTTCATCCAGTCAGGGGTGCTTCTTCAGTGGGATGTCACCTTGCCACTTTGTAAGGGTAACCTTTGAATCCCTGAATTAAATTCTTTGCCATTGCATCTTTCCATGCATCTTGCCAATTTTCTTTCTGTTGTTACTTTTCTGATTTTTTTTTTGTGGGGTCCAGATCCCATGATTCCTATGAAAAATTACTTTTTTTTTTTTTTTTTTTTTTTTTTTTTTTATCTTCCTCATGTGGATGCATGTAGACACTTTCTGATGTTGTAATTGACAGATGTTGTTCATCGTCTTTCCTTCCTGGTCTTCTCAGATCCCAGACAGGAGAACTTTGTCATTGAGAGACCAGATCTCTGATGCTGTAACTTCTATCTTAACTGTTTTCTACCTAACAACTTACTGGAAACTATGTTACAGATTGGTCACATTAGAGCACGCTCTTCAGAAACCAGAGTATATTCTACATCAACTCAGGCATTCCGCTATCTGTGCTCAAATACCTGTCTTTGACACCTAAGACAAGGCTTTTTGGAGATCTCTATGCCTTGAGTCAGTTGTTTAATTGTTTTTATGCTGCACTGGAAATCTAATTTGCATGAATGATGATTTTATCATTTTATTTTTACTTGTTCCAAGTTAAACTGAGTACATGAGCTGCCAAGGGGTTTGCTTGTCAGTAGGTAGCATTGGGATGTGTAGTATACACGTCAGCTTGTCTTGTGTTCTCTTTCTCTTCTCTTTGCGGTTTAGTATCTTTCTGATTGCACGATATTGAGATGCATGTGCTAGCCTTTTTACATACTATTTGGACAAAAGAATTCCTCAGTCTTGAGTGTCTGTGGAAAGTCATCTAGAATACATTATGAGCAGGTGGACTGAAATAAAACAGAAAACTTTGAACGTGAAGAATTCAACTTTAGATCAGTTTTATCTACTGGAACTTTTTTCGCATATCTGGCATTATAGTAAGAATATATGTTTGGCTGCTGGTGTTAAAATATTTGGCAATGACATGATACAATAAATATTTTCTTATTCCTCTTCTTCCTACACAGTAGCTCATAAATCTGTGACACAGATTCCATTATCAGAATATATTTTCATACATTCAGAGTATAGAAGAAAATTTATAACCTATTTAATACGTCTGTGCTGTGTTCTGTCAAATGTCTTCAAGTATTTAAATATTGTCCCATTCCCCTGTTCTTTAAATGCTCCCCACCCTCAAACATATGGATTATTCTCCTTGCACTATAGTATAGAAAAGGAGTTCTGGGAAAAAAAAATAATCATGGAGTCATTAGATTTTCCCCTTTAAACAGAGATAAACAGTTCAGCTTATAGTCTTGTTTTTGCAAAAGTGACCGTGAGTAACGCTGTTAAAAATACTTTCAGCAGTTATCTTCTGTATGTTTTTTTAATAGGTTCTTTAAAAAAAATCACAAAATGACTTTGTTTACAGATAGCAGATCAGATGTTCTTTCATAGTGATTATCGGCCCCTTATCCGTGATGCCAACAACTTTGTCCTGGACGAACAGACACAGCAGGCTCCACACCTTATGCCTCCCCCATTTTTGGTTGATGTGGATGGCAACCCTCATCCTGCAAGGTATCAAAGGCTAGTTCCTGGTCGTGAGAACTGCAGGGAGGAACAGCTTATTCCTCAGATGGGAGTGACATCTTCAGGTATGGAAAATTTCACTTCAGTACACAGTAGCCTATCTAGTTACCTCTAGGTGTTCTACACTTTCCCTTTCACTTCATCCTTTTTCTTCGTTTCTGAGCATAGTAGTTTACGTAGTGTGGAAGAATTGAAATGTCCTTGGCACTGATTGATTGTGACAATTCAATTTACGGTATTGTCATCGATCAAGTCAGAACTAGTTGATGCTATAATGCTAGTTAGCTTGGAGTTCGTTTCGGTGCATGATGCTGAGTGAGCTTTCAGTTGATCTCTTTGGGGTAGGATTTCCTACTTCAGAAAACCTAGGAAATAGACTAATCTTCCACTGATCCGTTGGAACAGGTAACACCTACAAGAAGAAAAAAAGAGAGGATACCTGAAACATGCAAAATCCTCCTCTTTAAATAAAAGCAGTCGTTCAACTTAAGCTTTGATGGTTTTGTTAGAAAACTGAAGACTTGATGACGATACAAATCTAGGAAGTTCCTTGGGAGTTGTGTTCTCTGTGCACACAACAAGGGAGGAACCTGCAAATTTTGGGCTAGTGGCTGGCTGTTGGGAACTTCTTAAATGTGGTCCACATGGGTGGGGATGTAAAAACGATGCCTACTCGTTACGTGTCAGTTCAATGTTAGTATGAATAAGCAACAGTGACTACTGAAAGTAGATTTAAATGTTTTCCAAGATAGGCATTGTTAAGTATTTGGCTATTCTAGAAAATACGGGAAAACTTGACTGTGCCTGTAAATAATGGCATATATGTACACCATACTTAAGCCTGTGGTGTGTCAGACATTCCAGGAAGGTTAATTGACAGAGTTGTTACCAAAAGATCTCTTTATCCTCATTTGTAGACCTGAGGATTACAAGCCACTGAATACTTTAATAATAATTTTTAAGCATCATTTCCATATTTCCTCCAAAATTATAGGAAGAAATGCTACCTGAGAAGCAACTGTAAGAAGGAAAAAATCCTTTCTGGTGAATATATGCCGTATTATTATATATACTGTTATAACAGTAACAACAAAGTAAAAACGCATCCTTCCTTGGATGCGTTCTTAGCTACTGGCTTTGAAGCTGAATTTGATTTCTGAGGAAGGATGCATTTTTACTTTGTTGTTACTGTTATAACATGGATCCATGACATCCTGAAATTCTCCAAATTTCAAAATGTCCTGGGCACATTCTCCAATATAATATCTTGAAACAAGTCAGACTCTGCACACAGATTCAACAATATTAAATTGTGACTGCATGACACATGAATGCCTATAGGAAGATGATGTCCATAGCATTTTGTTTAATACCAGGAAGCCATCAATCAGGCTGACAGAGAGCCAGAGATATTTTGGAGAGACAGAGGCATTTTTCTACCTCTTTACAGTTTAGCAACAATATATGCAGTCTTAGGCAGAGCTAAACTGTGTTCATGTATTTCATATGTTCCTTTCCACTAAAGAAGCTTCATTTCTTTCTGTAACTTTGAGGGAGATCCATCAAATCCCACAACAGAGCACTGACAAATTTATTTCTTGTCAAGTTTTCTATAGGGGCTTTTAAGAGTAGGGGGAATTCAGATAGTCATGCTTGATTTACTGTTTAGATATATATGAAGCTCCTTTAAACCAGATATTTTGAAAAAATCAAATATATACCAGTGTCTTCATTATTTCATTTAAAAAAAAAAAAATCTTGCTGTTACTTGTGAAGGCAAAATCTCACATGCTAGATACATAAAAAACATTCATTTTGTTTAGGTAGCAGTTTCCTTATTTAAGATCATTCTTGGGTTATTAGTAGTATTTCCCATTGTTTCATGTCTGCTCATGAGATCACCAAATAAATCTGACTGTCTCGCTACATGAGTCAGAACACATCCAGCTGTGGTTATACCAGAGCTCATTCCATGATTCCAAGCTTCTGCTGCTTTAGGGAAGTTGTCTTCAACTAGAATAACCTTGAAACCCTGAGAGCACTATCTTAAATATTTACGTTCTTTCTGCATACCATCATCTATTAAGAGATGTGGCTGCTTCTGTCTAGCCACATAATCAAAGCTCTTCATTTCCTAGCACCATTACTGTAATATCTTGTACTTGATCTTGCAAAGTGAAGTTTATACTATAGCTCTTTGGAATCATGCTGGAAAAACATATTCTGTAGCTTGTTTCTTTGAACGTTGTCATCCCTCATTATGAAGTTTTGCAAGTTCTGCTTCTCTTGACGAGGGCTTCCTACCGCTCCACCATCTAACTATTCTGTGGGGAGGTATCTGACTTCCTTTTCAAATCAGTACTGTAACCCTTGCCTTTTTCTCCATACATCTCTAGTTTTTTTGTGTCCATTGTGAGTATGAAAAGAGGTTTTGTGTTGTTTATGCTTACATGCTGTATTTCTTGCTTGCTGTACAGAAACAGTATTATCGCCTTGTAATCATTTCTGTGAGAACTATTTCCTGTCTTTTATTCAAGAGACCTACCCAAAAGGAGGTTTCCTGGCTGTTCTACATACCGAAGAAAATTAGCATTACTTAACCTGTGTCATCATTATGCCTATTTGGAGCTCAGTCAAGCATTTATACTGCTTGCTGTTCTCCAGCGTAGATAATTCTTTTCTAATTCAGTTAGACCTTCTTGATGTAGTTCTTTCATTTAAGTTTATACTAAAGTGCTTTATAATGCATTTGGGGCAGGCTAAGCACGCATTTGAACAATTTGCATTGACTAAGCTGACAAACAACAGTTGTATTAAGCTTCTGTAACTTGCTGGCACTTGATCAAATTTCAAGTTTTATTAGGAGTGGCGTGTGATTGTCTTGACCCTGCTCCATAAAATATTATGCTCTCAATAGTAAGAAAAAAGTTGTCCACTTTAAAAAACGGCTGTTACAAAAGTACGCATTAGCCCATACTTATGCATGTGATTATGTACAGTACTTGTAAGTTTCAAAGCTAAAACTTAGATGAGCTGTTTATATCATTTGGTTCTTCAAATCAACATTTGTATGTTGTTCTGTTGTATGTTTTACTTCACAGGCCTGAATCAAGTTCTTAGTCAACAAGCAAATCAAGAAGTTAGTCCATTGGATAGCATGATTCAAAGACTTCAGCAAGAGCAGGACCAGAGACGTTCTGGGGAGGCAGGAACCAGTAGTACCAGCCGGATAAGCAGAGGTAGATTACTGGGGGACGGCTCTTGTGGCTTTTCTATAGAAACAGCTGAGAGCTGAAAAACATAAATCACATTACTGTGCATGATTTGTGCATTTTGTTGAACCACTAGAAAGGAGGTATGGAGTGACAGAAAATAACAACAGCTTTCCCATCTTTTTTTTTTTTTTTTACCCTTCTGCAAAATCAAAGGATTCATAATAGTAAAACTTATCTTTATTAAAGTTACTGTCTGCTCACTTGGGAACTTGCAGCTACGGCGTTCCCTTAGAAGTAACTACTCTACTGTTTAATCTGGAATTCGGCATCTACCTGATTGAAATCTGAATTGTCTCAAATAGGAAATAGGAGGGAGAAGAGAGGAAGGAACTGCTTGTTTCCCAGTACAGCTGTTCCATGTTTCAGTGCCTTGCACTAGATTACGTGGTTATTTTCAACACTTAAAAAATCATGGTTGGCAATCCTCCCGCATAAGCAAGAATACCTTGTGTGTGGAATGATGTGGAAAAATGTTGAAATTTTGTTACAGTGTAGGTATTTGAAAGATCTTGCATGTATGTGTGGTGGTTTGGGGCCGGGGGGGGAGGTTGACCATTTCGGTTTCTTGTCTGCAAATTTTACAGCTTGGATTCCTAATAATTTCCAGTGTTGTGGTTTCATTGTTTTTGAAGGTAGAAGACTGTTCAAGGAATACACTGATTCATTGAGATAGCTCAATGTTTTATGATACAGATATAGAGTGCAGCAGCAATAGTCAGCCTTGCGTAAATGTTTTCAAGAGTATTTTTAAAGAAAAGCAAACCAATGAAACACTTGCTTTACTTAAGATTGTAGATTCATCTGCTCCTTTTCAGTGTGAATTTCTAAACAGGATACTGCTGCCCCGTAGCTGTTTAAGTGTGTGTGTTATGGTGATTATAGAAGTTGCTGAAATAGTTCTATATTCAGTTAATATTTCCTTTCTTTTGAAGTAATCAATTAAGTGAAATTCTTTTTTTCCTTTCATTTTGAGGTGTTTTTTTTTTTTTTTTTTCTTTTTAAATGCTTCCCTTTTTCAGATCAGGGTACAACTATCACTTTTTGACTTTTTAGGATCTGTAAGTTCTACCTCAGAAGTACATTCACCACCAAATATAGGATTAAGACGTAGTGGACAAATTGAAGGTGTGCGTCAGATGCATAGCAATGCACCAAGAAGTGAAATAGCCACTGAGCGCGACCTTGTGGCTTGGAGTCGAAGGGTTGTAGTGCCTGAACTGTCTTCTGGTGTGGCCAGGTAAACAGGCCAAGTTTGCGGTGAATTTTAGTTTGGTGAACTTAATTAAATTGAACGGTTTTGGAGTTCATATTGTCATAGAACTATTTGTGTAGTATTTATCTGTTCTGTGGTCTCCTGTTTCTTATAAAATCAGTTTCCGTTTGAAATCAGTTGTTTGCATATCACTTGAAAAATCTTGGAATTAATAGAAATATTGTAAATAAAAATTGACCATTTAACAAACGATGGAGTAATTTTAACCTCTATATGCAATGGGATCTAGCTGCCTCAATGTTTTCTGACTTGCAGCGTAAGATTACAGTATGTTTTAACTGCATCTCTTTCTGCCATTATACGGCATTTTACGGCTGGGGCACTGACCTAATCCATTAGGTGTATGAAGTGGATTTTGATTTCCAAACTGGTGATTTCTTTTGTTTAGTAATTAACTCTTGTGATGAACACTTACATCAGTAAGTCAAAAAAACCCTACTGGCCATGATCAAACATAAATTGCTCTCGCTTTTTGAAATAAGATTGAAATCTTACTTTGTTCAGAAAGGGTAATTTTGAACTAGCGTTCTGACTGCAAAGAAAAGAGCTACTGTTCAAAGTGTGTTACAGATGTTGAACATTTATTCCTTGCTTTGCAATATATCCTCTCAGTTGCAGTATTTTGCTTTAAAGTTAACATCTCCATTTTCTTTTTTCAGTAGGCAGGAAGAATGGAGAACAGCAAAGGGAGAAGAAGAAGTAAGAGTGTATCGATCG